GAGGTGGTGGCCATGAGGAGAGCTGGGAGCAGAGGGAATGGCATGTGCAAAGGCCCTGAGGTGGGAACAAAGGTTGGTGCAAATGAGGAATGGAGAAGGAGGTGGATGGAATGTGGAGGCAGAAAGTGGGGCAAGGAAATGTGGTGAGAGGGGCAGGCAGGGCCAGCTTGGCAGAGCCTTAAAGATATGGGAAGGAGATGGGATTTTACCCTAAGACTTTGGGATGCCTTCTGGAGGCTGTGAGCAGGGACGGGACAGGATCTGATGCCTCATTTTTGCTTAGCCGCCAGTAGCTCAGGCATCCTTGGGGGCTGCACTGGGCCAGTGGGTGGAAGGATGGTGCTGGCACCTTCACAGTTGAGAGGGGTTCCAGCAATGTGGGATGGGGGTCCCAATCCCAACTCTCCCCAAACTCCTGGGGAACTTGGGCAATTCCCCTCCCTACCTCTGTGCCTCTGGACCTGTTTCCCATAGGTAAAATTAAAGAGTGGGACTAGTTATTGCTAAGGGCCCACTGGAGTCCCCCGCTCTGGGATGGGTCTGTGTCAAAGCCCCCGGGCCTCTGTGAGGGTTGAGAGGGGGCAAGGGAAGAAGTGGGCTGGGGGTGGAGGGTGGAGCTGAAGACAGGCTTGACCCTTTCCTGCCGCAAAGCTCCACGTGTCCTTCCTCCTCCTGAACTGGTAATTCGCAGCCTGGGTGGGGCTCTCGAATCCGGGGTTCTCTCCGGAGGAACCTCACCATGCTGGCGGTGAATGATTCCTGATGCGCTCACCCAATTTCTTCTGCCAGGCTGGGCAGGGGCAGCCCGCCTGAGTGCACCGTGTGCAGGGCTGCAGGGGAGGAGATGCGAGGGTCCAGGGTGGGCCACGGATGCAGTGACTGAATGCAAATCATGAATGAACAGATGGGAGTGCGGCCGTGCGTGGGAGCGAGTGTGTGCATGCATGCACACGCGGGCTCTGTGTGTGACTCAAGGTGAAGGACCGTAACTGTGTGTGTGGCTTTCTGTGCGTGACTGCTTGTGACTGACTGTATGTGTGACGGAGTTAATGTCCACGTATGTGCAGGTGTGAGCCTGTGGAGGTTGTGTGTGACCATGATTGTGAGTCTGACTCAGTGTGTGCATGTGAGTATGCGACAATGAGTATGAGAGCATGTGGATGTGACTGGAGGTGTGCATTTGTGGGTCTTGCCTGTGTGAGCTTGTGTGAGATTGAGTATGGGAGTGTGTCTGTGCATTTGCATGTGCAATGGAGTAGGTGTGTACGTGAATGTATGACGATGAGTCTGGCAAGTGCTGTGACCCACAAAATCGCTGCCCGGAGATATGTGGTGGGGGACTCTGCCTGACATGAGCGTGTGAGTGACAGATCGCTGCACCTGTACTTGCAGTGGGTGGCTGTGCATGGCTGTGCGTGCTATAAGTGACTTGTCAGTGGCTGGGTCTGGGGCATCATGTGGCTTGAGCCCTTGAGGACAGAGGGCCACGATGCAGCGTTGGGGAGAGGCCAGGACACAGGGCTCAGGCAAGCCAGTTTCCTCCCCGCACCACGGGGCAGAAACGGCCAGGCCAGAAGCTTGCTGCTTTCAGCGAGGGGCTGGTGGGGGGCTGGGCTCAACAGCCCAGGTAAGCGCTGTGCCTAGCCCCCCACCAGCCCCAGAAGGATTTGCTATCACCTGGGCATCTCCAGGGCTGCAGGGAACAGATCCACCCCAGAGGGAACACACCATGGACTTGAGGGACAATGACAAAGGTCGCCTGTGGTGGGGACTTGAGGGCAGCCAGCCTGCAGCACCTGATCCCCTGGAACCAGCTTCCAAGAAGTAAACGTGGTTAGGATTCGGAGTCAACTCCCTGTCCACCCGGGACTGGGGAGGGTGCCGGGAGTGTGTATATGATTGGGGGGGGGGGTGTGCTATGGACCAGTGGGTGGGGTGTGCTTGTGTATTAACTACCCCACCTCCTTAACTCCGCCTGCAGAGGAAGCCACCATGTTCCCCCCACTGTCAAGCTGTGTACCCAGCACCTTGCTTGCACCTCACATCTCCAGCCTGCCGAGGGTGCGAGGGGCTCGCCCTGTGCACTGGGGGGCAGGAAGGGGGTTTCATTTATGACTCTTTCCCCTCCACTCCCAGGCACCTTTCCCCCAGTTCCCAGGAAGTGACTGTGGAATCTGTTTCTAAATATAGACTCTGGTGGCCCGGGCCGCCTGCAGACAGTCCCTGTGGCCTCCTGGCTGAAGGGCAGAACTGCAACTGCCTTCCAGGAGGCCCAGGCCCCAAGGCTTCTGCTTGGAGCTGTTGGTAAAAATAATAACCATAAAAGAGGCCATTAAAAAAGGAGGGTAGCTGAACGCTGGGTTATGAGCCCACGACACCAGTGATCACGTGATGATGTTTGGGTGGTGGCTGCCCTGCAGGCTACACACACACACACAGGGCATTCTACAATACACAGACCCACGCAAGCTGCACCACACACACTCAGGGCCCACACACCGCAGACCCACCTAAGGAGGCACCCAGAAAAATTACACGCATAGTTTTAAACGCCCTCTCTCAAGGAAGGACACACAACGAAGCACACGCACAAATCGACACAACTGCAGAGGGACACACAAAGTCCCTCTTCGAATGACAGTCATCCAGAGAGACTCAAGGATGATGTCATCCTCAGCCACACAGAAGGAGACGCACAGCCCACCTCTCCAGGCGGGTGGGAGAAGCTGAACTTGGCTACAAGATGGAGATTGGGAAACAGGTGGGGGAACGCAGCGGGTCAAGGCCCTTGCCTGTGCTCAGATCCAGGTGTTCTGGAGCCAGGCACTCACTCCCGGGTCCTGGGAGCTCACCAAGAAGCATCAGGAGCTGGGAAATCAGGCCCTTGGGGGAAGCTGTTGTCGGGGAGGAGCTGGCCCTTCAGAGGTCTGGGAGAAAGCCCAAAACAACCGAGCCTGGGGTCCATCTGCCAGCGTCCTGGGGGGTGGCGTGGGAGGTGCCCGGGGATCCTGGAGTTGTGGCAGCCTCAGAGAGAGCGCATTTTGCATGCAGGTGGGAAGACTCAGTCCCTGGAAGGCTGGGGGGCTGGCAGGTCCCCGAGGAAGCGGGAAAGTTGGAGAGTGGGGACTCCTTCGCCTCCCTTTGGGGAGCTCCTCTCAGGGTTTGGATCTCAGAGTCCCCCACCTTCTAAAGAAGTCCTTCCCTTCCTAACTTGGCCTTCTGGCAGCCAGCGCTGCGCCAGGAGCCGGTGTGGGAGAGGTGTGCGCCAGGGAAAACAGGGGCAGGGAAAAGGGTCTAGAAACAAGAAGGCAAGGGGGGCAGTGCTGGGGGGCCCCGCAGGATGGGCGCCAGGTGCAGATCTCTCTGGATGGCGGGTCTGGAGCCCCTAGGAGGTCTGGGACCTTCCTGAGACCCGCCACTGGGAGCTTGAGGCAGCGGGCCCCGGAAGCGCACTCCGTCTTGAGTGGCGCATAGGCAGGAGAAGGGCCGCGCTTGGCACGCTCTCTGCTCTGCGCCGTGAGAACGGTGTGTCGGAGGAGCACTGGGAACGCACAGCCTCGGTGGCCGCTCCGATTGCTGCGTCCGCCTCTGCCTCCACCTCTGCAGGGCGCCCTGGGCAGGCCGAGCCCACAGCGGCCGCCCATTTCCTGGCGTGGTTCCATGGCCTCTGGGGAAGGGGCTCAGGTTCCCTTTCAGGCTCTATCTGAAGGCCCAAAGCCTAGGGAATGGCAAGGAATGGGGTGTATTTCCGCAGAGTCTGTGTGACTGGGGGCAATTCCTCACCCTCTCTGAGCCTAATTATTGGCTTCAAAAAAAATGGAGCCAGGCACATCTTCTCTCCCCCTTCTACCCCACCCACCCGCTTCCCTCCCTCCAGGGGACAGTGTGTACTGGCTTGAGGCTGTGATGAATAGGGCCAGGGTTTGGGAACAGAACACGGAGGTTTGGAGGGGAGAAGGTCAGCATCTGCCATCCTCCCTCCCATCCTAAGTGCTCAGGAATCTGGGGCTATATGCCCACAGGCCTTTGTCTGGGTCCTTCTGCTTCCCTAGGGGGAGAAGGAAGAAGGGATGCAGGACAGAGACGGCTCTATGTGAGTCTTCACTGAAGGAGCATCTGCCTTCACTTTCAGACCAATGTGCTTTTCGAGTCTTAAAAAGGGTCCTTTGCACTCAATCTGATAGACCCTTCCCACTTGCTTTCCCTTCCCTGGCTCTGTAGAGAAGCCCTGCCTGGTAAAAGAGGAGCTCCTGGCTTCTGGATTCAGACGGCCTGGGTTCAAGTCCCACCAGGGTGCCACGGTGGCCAGAGCCCCAGGAGCCACCTTCTCGTAAAGCTATTTAGAGCTAAATGAGCGAGTGAAACCATTTTACAGCAGCTCCTGGCCTGCTGTAAATGTTAGTTATTATTGCACCTCAAACGCTAGCAGATTTTTGGGCCTCAAATATCCATATTTCTCTCTTTGTGGCTGTATGGACATAAGTAGGACTCCGCTGAAAATATTAATGCAAAATGCTGGGGAGGGAGGAAGACAGGGGCTCCGTGTGCTGCGGGAGCTTCTGCTGCTGTCTGGGAGTCAGCCTGGAAAGGAGTGGGTGGGGGCACCACGAGCCAGCCCAGAGCTTGTGGGCACATTAGATGCCCCACTGAAAGCAGTGGAGGAGCAGCTAAGTTTTATCTTTCCTGACCAGCCCAGAGATGGATGGGGGCTTTGGCAGAGATTGAAACAAGGCGGGAGGACCCTGGGGGGAGGAGTCCTCCCCATCCCATGGCCAAAGGCCTCTGCCAGCACCACCCTGGACCTCCGCTCTCCATGGCCCCTCGATGGCTGCCAAGCCTGGAAGCCGGAGCTGGTCGAAGCCCGGGTTCTTTCCCAGAGCTTGCTGCCTCCAAAATGGAAACGGAAAAATCAGTCTGCATTGCCCACTGTCCACCCCCCAAAAAAGAGGGGCATTCCTCCCCCCAATGCAGGTTCAAAGAAGAAAGCAACGAAACCCCCAAATATTATTTTAATGTTATTTATATTACATCCACAATGGAAAATGTTTTCTCTAAAAGGAAACGTATAATGTATTCTTTCCCTCATAAAGACCTTGCAGACCTTAATGCCACTATTTCTAGTTCCCGACTTCTCTCCTTCCATTTAGAAGTTATTCCAGGCAAGCGAAGGGGTCGCTTGGTTGGATGCGGGGAGCGTCGGGTGCGGATGAGACGGGCAGCAGATGTGGAGAGATTCCGAGACTCCTAGAGTCCCAGGTTCCCGGTGGAGATGCTCGAGGTGCGGGCTTCGATGAAACCATCCTGCCCGCCGCCCGCGCGCGCGTCTCCGAGGTCATCGCTCTGAACTCCAAGTGGGGGCTTTTGCTCAGGACACGACCCTAGCCAGCAGAGATTCTACTAAATCTCGATTTTTCTCCTCCGTTTAAAAAAAAAGGGGGGGTAGTTTTTCAATCCCTTTCGTGTTGAATCTACCTAAGTGGCTCCGGAAAGCCAAGAGCGACGGGCGGAAGCGCCCTGCAGGACACAGAGCTCGCAGAGCAAGTGCGCGATTGTCCTCGGGGCGCCCCATTGTTGAGAGCGTTCGACGGGACTCCGGGGTTGCCATGGAGACCAGGAAACCGAAGGGCCCTTGCGGAAACAATCGCCAGGAACTTCTCCACCGGGGACCTCGGTCCGTTGCACCCCAGGGCGAGCCTCTGTCAGTTTCAGCCCAGTGTTTTCCGGGAGGGATTGTGATGGGGGGCAAGGCATCTGTGGTCCCCGCTTCCGGACCCTTCTATCGAGGCCGCGTCCCCAAAGGCCAGAAACCCAGCAGCAGGAGGCCAGAGGAGACCCGCTGTGGTGCTCACGGCCCGGGCTGAAAGGGAAGAAAAATTAGAGGTCTCGACCAAAGAATCCCGACGGTGACGGATCCTTCCAGTTTGGGGTTTGGCGGCCCTCGTCACCGCTTCCCTTCACCTCCTCAAGGTCATTACTAGAGTTTTCACTTGCAGCTCCAGGAGGGGTGGCCGCCCCCCTTCCTTACATGCGCAGAGCTCCTCCCGAAGCTCCTGTGGCCTCCTCCCAGGCAGGTTTCTCCCAGAAAGAGGAACAAGGGATGTGGGGTTTAGCTGGGCAGATTAAGTGGACTATTCCAGGGTCAGTAGACTAGCTTTTCAGATTCTCTTGACCTGGGTAGGCCCAAGTCTGGAAGACTGGTCAGACCCCAGGAATTCCCAAAATCACTGGCCTGGCTCATTTTGGCCACAGGGTGAATGTTACCTGAATCATTGGGTGGCTGGGAGGTATGAGCTGAGCTTTCTCAAAGTGGGTAACTATTCTCACAATTGCTATCTCCTTTGTTTTCTTTGCCGCTAAGAGTTCAGACTCGGTGGTATAGACAGAGAGGAACCATTGCCCCTTCCCCCTTAAATAAAGCGCCTTATGAAACATCAGATCGAATTCTCTCCAGTGGGGATGCCTGGCTCTGTGAGGCCCGGGCTGGCTGGAAAGAGGCCCGCGGGCAGCCAGGACTGGAGCTGCAGTTTCTTCTCTGGTTTTGACTCCGGCCCTTTGAGCAAGCTTAACACGTGTGGATTTAATTTCCCTTTCTTTCTTGCTTTCTTTTCTTCCCCCACCTCCTTGTGAGGGAACAAGAAAAATAGTCTGCCGTGTCGACAGCGCAACACCCTTCCCTTTGCCAAAGAAAATCAGTCTTTCCCAAGAGCCCCAGAGCGCAGGGGCTCCCAGTTTCCATCGCACCCTCCAGTTGAGGGAGGGGTACCCAGACAGGCCCCCTCCCCCCGCCCATATCCCAGACCTGGAGGTATTAGCTTGAGTCTCTATGTTAACGGATCAGAGCCCTGGAATTCAGTATATTTTCCCCCCACATCTTTTGGGGCTGGGGGACACGCTGATCAGGCAGACACAGTGACTGTACCTGGCCGCCTTTCTACAGACTCTGGGCTGCAGTTACAGGTAGAGTTCTCGTGCTCAGCGCAGCCCACAGGATCGGAGGAGGCTCCGGGTGCTCCCAGCTCAAGACCCCCACCCTTGTTGTCCGCTGGGGACTCCCCAAATTGGAGGCAGCAAGAAAGCCTCCTTTGCGTCTTCTTACCGCCTTCTCTGTTCCAGTGGAGCCCGCAAATCTCCAGCACTGATGTCTCAGCTGGGCTTCTAGAAGGATGTTTCCACTTCTATTTCTCATCTCATTACCCCAACCAAGGGGGAAAAAAAATCTCATCTGCTGAACTTGGGGGAGAGAGGAGGCATATTTCCAAAGCACAGAAAGCAGCATCAACATGAATAATAATAAGTAAAATAAGGAGTAATAATTATTGGTGGACATATTGGGGAATATTGAATATCAAAATAATGACAACAGTTAGTATTCTTCTCAAATCCTTCTGGTCAGAAGGGAGGGGCGGTGGCTAGGAACTAGGAACCCAATAAAACATTGGGAAGGGAGATACTGCAGTCCTGGAAAAAATATAACAGAGCCGGATTTAACTAGGCAGGAGGGAAAGTGACCCCCTGAGAACTTCCCAGCCTCAGGCTGACCCTTGCTTTCGCAAAATGACTTGGCCAAAGTTTAGTTTTGTTACCATCTCTATTGTTATGATGGTTATTAATTTTCCCGGTCCCATCCGAACTTCTGCGTACTTTTCGCCTTCAGCAGAGACCCGAGTCAGGCGGGGACACATGGGAAAAAAATGGAAAGGGAGTGGATTCTTGCGCGAGTTCTCTTTTGAGAGGAAAGAAACATGGTGGTTTTGAAGGCGACTTTCTTAAAAACAGAAGGAAAGAATGAAGAAAAAACATCGACAGCGGTCGGCCCTCGCTTTTGTTTGGGTTTTGATTTTCAGATGGGAACCTCTGCTCTCCGATGCATGGCGGCATTAAAATCAGGGCAGGGATTTGGCAAAATGAGGAAAATACATGTCGGGAGAAAATGGAGCTGGAAGCTGGTCGGGGAAAGCATTAAACCTCCGAAAGAAGGAAAGGAGGTCGCGTGCTGCCGCCTCTGCCTCGAGTTGAGTTGACTGCCCAATGGTTGGGGGAAAGAACGGAGATTCTCAAACCTAGGTCGTTGTTTTCTTCTATCCGCAGCGCGCCCTCCGGAGCGGCTGGGAAAGTGGGTCCGGGAAGCTGAGTTTGCGGAATCCTTTGTGAGCCAGACCAGGGGGGTTGCGGGGCCTGTGCAGGGATGCGAGAAAAGGGAGCCAAATGGAAAGGAACTCGCCCCGCTCGGAGTTTCGCCTTCCCCTTCCAGCCCCAGCGGAGCCCAGGCCTCCGGTTCTGGCCCACCTTGGCCCAGAGGTCAAATAAGAACTCCTCTCAAGGCTTTAGGCGAAGGATTTCGCGTTCGGCTCTTGGCATCTGGGAGCAAACGCTGCACCCAACGGGCCTCACATTGGGGAAAAGATAATTATTAATACCTTGGGAAACGAAAGCCAAGCTTGGGGACGCCCCTGTGGCCTGGCCGAGAGGAGGGACGCGGGTTCTGCTTGCTCGAAGCTGCAGAGTCTGCGGCCCGGGGGACCCTGGCGTCCGCGTCCGGCGCTGGAAACCACTGCCCGCTCTCCCCGCGAGCCTGACCTCAGCTCCTGGGGCCGCTCGGTCGGCTGCGTTCCTGCACTTTTCGCTGCCGCTTCAGCCCCAGACGGACCGGGCCTGGAGCCAGGCCATGCTGCGGAAAGCCCTGGGGGCTGGGGGCGCGTGAAACCCGGCATCGAACCCTGAAGCTGGGGGCGAGTCTGGATTCCGACGTCTGGCTCCCTCGGGGACGCCTTGGCGGGGAACTTACCCTTCCAGAAGGCCCGGCGCTCGCTCGCTCCGTGCTAGGCGGGCCTGGCTCTTCTCTCGGCGCCGCCGGGGGCGTCTACGCAGTACGTTTCGCTACTGAACCTAGCGCATTTCCAGCTGCACGCGGAAGCTCGCGCGCGCAAGCCCCGGGGCTGCTTAGCAATCATGCCCATTGACGAGACCAAAAAACAATAACCCTTATTACAAAACAAAACAGAGCACCTCGTCCCTCTGCAGGCCCCAGCGCTTTAATTTTTCTCCGCAGAAATCGCTCCTCTCCACCCACCCCACCACCCACTCGCACCCCGCCCCCGCCGGGCCACGCGGGGGACCAGTTGCATCCCCGGACCTAGCTTGCGAATGGACTTTTTCTCAGCAAGAAAGATTGCGGACGACTCTCTTCGTCCTAACGTGCTAACGTCGGTCTCTTTTCCCCTCCGTGATAACCCAGTAATTACTTCTACGCAGGTCTGGAAGCGGCCCCGAGTTATCGCGTCCCAAACGTAACCAGCTAGGGAGGTGCCTCGATATTCATTTGCCGAGAGCTCCTCCTTGAAAAGAATTTTTTTTTTTTAAATAATAAGACTGTCTTGCCTGCTGTAAGAGACCTCGTTCCACCCGAAACAACTTGCTTTCTTTCCAATCGTAGGCTGAGGTGGGCTCCCACCTCCTTCGCTGAGTCGCTCCCCCCCCCCCCCCCAGTCGATCTTGGCTCTATTTGTGTCCGATGTTTGCCACCCCATTCCCCAGAGGGCCCTGGGTTTGTTTATTTCTTTATTTATTCCCGTGGCTGAGGCGTCTGGGACCTGTGGCTGCGCAGACCCCGAAGTCATAGGCGAAGACGGAGAGAAATTAACCTCCCGCCGCTGCCCCCAGTCGAGCGTGACAGCGCGCGGGCCGGTTGCGTGACTCGTGACGTCTCCAAGTCCTATAGGTGCAGTGGCTGGTGAGATAGTCGGTATCGCCGGGTTGCCTCTTTATTTTATTGGGGTATGCCTGGTAATAAACAGTAATATTTAATTTGTCGAAGACCACAAACCAACTTCGAGCTGGGAGGTACATACTACTCTTGACTGACGCTGGAAGAAGGCTTGGCCTAAACGGGGTCGCTTTTGGGGGTCCTTTCCAAACTCCTCACCTGAACCCCCCTCCCCAGTGAGGCGCCACTCGTGGCTTCTGCGCTGGAAAGAAGAGGTGGGATTTTCGGAGGTGAGTGTCGCCCTGGAGAGGTATTGGGAGGGGGGCATAGGTTTCTCTTAGCCCTTTGCCTGCCCACAGCCCCCTGGCTTCCTGCCCCAGCCCTGCTGAATCCCCCCTCGCAGCCTGGCTCCTTTTCACCATCTAAATAAGAATGGACTCTCTCGCATTTTGCCTACCAGTGTCACCTGGCCAGAACAGATTCCCCTTCAAGCTTTCAAAATCCTAATTTCACTCAGTGGCCAGCGCTCCACAACCTACACGAATCTGGCTGGGCAATTACTTGGGAGAGTCCGGATTTTTCTCTCTCGGGAGGGGCGTGCAGATTATTTATGGGAATTTATTTTATCCGCAAATCTCTGAGAATTTAGAGGGATTGGAAAAGTCTTTCCGGATTTCCCCTCCTTTTGCCAGAGATTCGGAGAGTCAGCCTCATCCTGAAGCCATGTTTGTTTTCCATCTTTGGCCGAGGTCGCCTGCTTAGCAAGCCCAAAGTCCTCTGAGCTGACATTTTGGAAGGGTGAGGGTGTTTTCACAAATAAATAAACTGCCTTGGCGAAAGGCTGCTTGCAAACAAACCTGGAAGGTGAAGTGAGAACCGTAGCAAATGCTCTGGTCCATTTTCTCCCCGTTTGTCCCACTTTTAGGGTTGGACAATCCACTTTGAAATTTTGCAAGGGTGTGTCAGGCCTGCCCTGGGGTTTTAGTCCGAGGAGCCACAGAGGGTTACACTGGGGTGGCTGCTGATTTTCAGAGCCTTTCTCCTGCCTCCATCCCTCTCCCCAGAGCTTGGCCTGCAGGCCCAAGTCTCTAATCAGAGCCCCAGAAAAGAAGTGGGTGAAGGGGGTACGGGAGACAAGGGTGGGAAACAGAAAGGGAGCCCTCACATTTATTCTAAGCACCAATATTTGGTGCTCCAATCTGGGTCTGCTCAGCCTGACCTACTGACTGTGTTTACGCTTCTATTGACCTCTTCAACTCGACCCTCAAAATAATACATTTCAGAGGGGGGAGGGCAGGGAGAGGAGAGTGGAGATGAAAACCCCAGCCAGCCCCCAATGACTGTTTGATTATTTTAATAAAACTGGGCACTGCCTTGTGTACACCTCCAGCCAGGGAGGTCTGGTGGCTCTGGGTGGGGGGGCAACGGCGATTTCTTGGCATCTTTGATCTCGGCCCCCATCCCAACGCACCTTCACCCTGCCTTCACCCCGGAGTCACTGAGAGTCGGGGTGATGAGTGGGGAGGGGGAGAGATGTCAGGGCGGCTAGCGGCGGCCGGCTGGGCCAGGCGGGGTCAGGCAGCTCTCGTCCTGAGGTCAGCGTTGGAGAGAATGCGGACGAGGCTGCAGAGGAGGCGCGCGGCGGGTGTGTGCACGCGTCCTGCGATCAGACTCCGTCCTCTGCGCAGCCCGCGTCACCGAGATTACTTCCCGGGCAGAAGCCGACCGGGTTTGCGATGATTTGTGCAGGATTTTTTGCAGCCACCGAGCCGCGCTTAGAGAAGCAGAGATGGATGGAGGTTGGGAAGGGAGTGGAGAGGAGGGGGTGATCTCCAGGTCTGGATTTGAGAGTCGTGTTGTGATTTGAGTGTTCGGGAAATCTCATGGAAAAAGTGGTTGGGGGAGGGAGTGGGAAGGGAGAGGGAGGGAGGAGGGAGGGAGAGAGAGGCAGAGGCAGACAGCGTGCAGTGGGATCTAGTTGGATAGGCAATTTCAGTACTTTGTAAGCATCAAGGCAGCCCAACGTCACTGAGCTCAGCTTGTATTTCTGAGAGAGAGAGAGGGCAGGAGAAAGAGAGAGAGAGTCTTACCTCCGATTCCGGGACTTTAACCCTGAAAGCCGCGCTCAGAAAGGACTTGGACCATTCCCACGGCTGCCTCTGGTCTCTCAACTTTCCCTCCCTGGGGGTGCAAGGAGGGAGCAGGGCACTGAGATTATACTATTGAGGGTGCCCCCCCGAGGCTACTCTCTTGCGTTCTTTGGAGCCCTTCTGGCGCCTGACAACTTGGAAGTCTGTAGGGAGGGCGAGAGCAAGGCGGAGGAGGTGTGTGTTGGAGGTGGGCAGTCGCTGCCGAGCCTGCAGCGGTGGGCGCTCCTTTGTAGGCAGCAGTAGCCGCTAGTCTGGGCAAGCAGTCCCCCCGCGTAAACCCCGGAGCCACGATGCCCGCGCCCCCGCCTCGCCGCCGGCTTCCTTACTAGGAGCAAGAAGGGATGCGGTGAATGCACCGGCGTCACCGAGCGAGGTAACCGTCTCCGCAGCTGGCACGGGAGGCTCCGGAGGGAGCCTGCCGGCCGCGTCGGCTCCGGGAGACGCGAATGGCGGGACTCCAGCCTTGGCCTTGGATTCTGCAGAGCCCGGCTGGCAGAGAGATTTTGCGCGGCCCGGAGCTCCCGGGCGCGTGGATCCAGCCGGGGAGGCGGCCGCGGCTCGGGGAGCGGCGTTGAGGTTTGCAGGACGCGCGGCCTGGTTCTGTCAAACCGCATCTTGTTCGCCCCTGCCAGCCCGGAGCTCCCCGGGACCCTGGCGAGGGCGCGGGGTGGGATTGTCCCCGCGGCCGGCGGTGAATGGGAGCACACGTGGGGGACGCCGGCCCTGCTTTCTTTTGTTGTGAGCAGGCTGCGGGGCTCCCGTCCCCGCTACCCCAAAACCCCAAGGGCGTGGTGAGGCAAGCTGCTGGGGAGTCGGGCCTCAGAAGCTGTCCTTCTCCTTGGCCTCATTCCTGCGTCTCCGGGATGCAGCCTTTTGCTTAATTAAGCGGCTGCTAAGATCCTGGGGGCCGTCCTTGCACCCCCTTCCCAGTCTTCCCGGGTTTGGAGGGAGGAAGTCCCTACTTGGGATCATAGAGAGACTGGAAGGAGATCAGAGAGGGGGGAGGCTCGTCCGGGTTTGAACCGTTCTGCAGCTGTTATTTTGTGCGTTCCAACCTCGTACGCCTGCAAACCCGGGCCATTTTCCGCGTTGCGTCGGACCTAGGCGGCCGAGGCAACGCCGGAAGCCCAGGATTTATCTGGGACCCATTTTGTTCTCGCCAAGCCCGAGCTTGGGCCTGCAGTTCCCGGGAGCCAGGCCCGGCCGAAGCTCAGAGAAGCTTCCTTCGGCCTGGCTGCTCCACACAATGCCCGACCCGGGCTAGAGAGCCAGGAAAGCGAGGAGAATGCGCACCCCCGGCCGGCGACACCTCGCTGGCCACCGGCGCCCACAGCGCGCCTCCCTCCGCGCCTCCCTGCGAACTGCTGCGCTGCCGCTTTGCTTTCCTGCCGGGCGGTCTGTTTGGCTCCTTTTTATTTTTAACGTTGCTTAAGGTTGGGGTAAAGGGGAGGACTCTTAATGTTAAAGGACTTTTAATTTTAAGACCTGTAACTGATCAAAGATGGACGTGAATTCTCTTTCGGACCGGTCTCTCGATCTGCAAATCTTTTCCGCCTGTGTTTTTGCTTTTGCAAGAGGCGGGTTATTTCAGGCATTTTGCCTGCTGCAGAAAAATATTCCCCTTGCGAGTTTAAATCAAAAGAGCTCTGATGGCCTCCTGTAATTTTGACGAAGAAAAAAAAATTCTCCAAAGGACACTAGGTTTTTGTTTTGTTTTTGGTTCGTACCCAATGGCTTCCAAAAATACCCAGGCCTTATCTTTATTGGCTCTTCCAGAAGTCCAGACAAATTTGACGGGCAGCTCGCTTATCGCGGGGAGCCTGCGCAGGGGAGATGCGGAGCTCGCCCGTTCGGGATCTGACCGGGGTCTTTCGCAAGAGCCTGTGCGTGGTCATAAAGTAATAGTAATGATGATAATAACAGGACTTTCTGCAGCCTCCTTCAGCTGGGAACGGAGGTGCCGGTAGCTGGCCGCTGGGGGCCCAACTGCTCTTTTCTGTCAGTAGAGCTGCAATTCCAACCTTCTCTCTTCTCTCTCTGCCCCCCTCTCTCTCTCTCTCTCTGCTTCCCGTCCTCAGAGCAGGACCCCGCGCGGGCACAGGGCCACCGGCACACCATGGCCGACGCAGACGAGGGCTTTGGCCTGGCGCACACACCCCTGGAACCTGACGCAAAGGACCTACCCTGCGACTCAAAACCCGAGAGCGCGCTGGGTGCCCCCAGCAAGTCCCCGTCGTCCCCGCAGGCCGCCTTCACCCAGCAGGTAAGACCTCGCGCCTGGGGACCTTCTGTGGCCACCAAAGCCGGTCTTGCGGGGGAGGAGGGAGGCGGGGAGTCCATTGCTCCCAGTTGGCCCCTTTCCTTCTCATCCCCACTCCATTTCACCTTTCTCTGCCCTGCCGCCCTCAATACCAGTATATTCCAATCCACTTTATTGTGACGATTATCTTTATGGCCAGAGGACTTTTGAAATACATTTAAGTTGCTAGAGAAGCCCTAATTTTCCGGCTATTTGGGGCCGGCTAACAATGGCCCAGATCACTCCTTTCCTGCTGCGCTAGGTGTGGACTCGGCCCTGAGCGCCTCATTAAGGGCCGGGTCAGCGGCCGCTTCAGGCCCGCTTGAGCGATGGCTTGACCCCTCTTTAGATCTTCCTTAGCCTTCGCCTCCGCCCGCCTCCTCCGCGCCGCCGCCGAGACCCACGCGCCACACCATTTGTCTTGGGCCGGGGCCTGGCGGGCTGGCGCGCCCTGGCCGGCGGCGGGGAGCGCACAGGGCTGTGCCGGGAGGGCGCACGGAGCCGCGGGCTCGCCTGGCTGGAAGCTGGGCCGGGACAGAGGGCGAAGCCTGGCCTCGCGCCCTGCCCCCTACACCCTGGCTCTCTGGGCCCTCAAGACTGCCCTTGTAGACTTAGGTGCTTTTGAATAGGGTGTCAGATGGCTTGACGCGGGGTGACTTGAGCAAAAGAGAGACATCTACATAGCTAAAACTCTTCTTTGCGATTTCGCTGCCCGTCCTGGCTGTTTCATCGCCTTTTTCTTTGCCCTTCACGTGTCAGGAAAACGTGTGTATATTTGTAGAGAAGCAGAGAGCAGTGGGCACGCAGTTTTGGAAACTTAGATTTTTTTTCTTTTAGAGGAAAGCAAATCCACTTATTAGACGGTTATGGATTATTGCAAAGAGAAGACTTTGTATATAATTTTTTTTGCATCGGTTTTGTAAAATAACTTTTAGTCAAAAGTGGAAATGTTAAATGGCTTCAGCTGTGCCCATAATCAAAACAGCTTGAAGTGAACGAAACTGCATGTGAGGGGAGCCTAGAAAGCTTATTAATATAGACATTTGAGAATTAATTTTCGTTTTGGACTGTGGGAGCCTCTTAGAGTATACAGGCATTTAAAATTTTAAATTTCACCTCTGTCGATGTTTGCACCGCCATGGTGACATTAAACAGACGTATATACAGGATTTGCCCGTCTGTATGTTTGCGTGTGGACATCTGGGTGTCGACGTAAGACTATCCTGAGTGGGTTTTTCGAGATTATTATTTTTTTCTTTAGCTGAATTTTGGCTAATGCAGACTGAGAGTGGTCCAATTTTTTGCTCTGCCCCATCCTTCCCACAGACTTTCTGGAGCATCCTGATAGTTGGGGATTTTTCTCTAGCCTTGCGTTGGTGGCATTAGGAGGAGACAGCACTGCGCTGTGGGGATCAAACTTCTCCTGGATGGAGCCTACATAGGAATTCCAGAGCCCAGGGCGCTCTGCAGTGGGCTGGGGCCAGCTTCCAGCCTCTGAGCACACAGGCTCGGGAGGGAAAGAGGAGAAGTGTCTGTGCTTGGGAGGAGTTTGGGGAAGGAAGGCCCACTGCCCGTGCTGGGCTAGTCTGTGTGACTTTTCTCTCCTTCCTGTAGGGCATGGAAGGCATCAAAGTGTTTCTCCATGAAAGAGAACTGTGGCTGAAATTCCACGAAGTGGGCACGGAAATGATCATAACCAAAGCTGGAAGGTGAGCTGGTCACCTCTGAGAGGGGCCTAGGGAAACTGTGGGAAAAAGTGGCTTGGGAGACAAGAGAGAAGGAGAAGGGGAGAAAGGTGAGGAGACAGAGAAGGGAGAGCAGAGCAGAGAAGAGAGAGAATGAATGCATTTTGTTTGAGCCGATTCTGGTTCAGAAGGCACAGAGAACTCCTCCAGGGATCTCCATCAGGGTCGGGGAAATACTTGCAAGATTCAAGTCTGGAAAAAGGGCATTTCTTCCAACTGAGCCTTTTGCCCACCTGGTATCAAGAAGAATCAAGAACTTGAGATTGTGCTACTGGGATAGACTAGTAATGAGAGAAAGAGGGTTGAAGAGGGAGAGCCAGCGGGAAAAGAGAGGTGCAGAGAGGACACGGGGATGCCACCGGTCTCAGACTTGATTCCTCGCCCCTAGCCTCCTTCTCACCCTGCCTGACCTTGGAGTGCTTCCAGAGTCCCACCCGATTGCCAAACGCTGACTCGCTGAATGTATTCGCTACTTCCTTCATTGTTTATAGAAAGCAGGCGAAGCCTTTGAAACTGAATGGGGGCTCGGCCAGGCTTTGTATACAGACACCGATAAACACGGCAGTTTCGCCAAGACACTCACCCCGCAGTTCCTCTTAAAAGCTCGCAGAGTTTTAGCTGGAAATGCTAGACTTCTGGGGGAAGGGGTGGGAGGGTCGCGCCACTCCGTATCTCAGTGTGTCTGTGTGCGCGCGCGCACCCAGGCCTGGGGACGTCCTCCCCACATCCCTACCGGTGCCGGACTGGCCGGGAAGGTCAGAAAGCCCCACTGAGCCCAGAGGAGGCGAGGGAAGCCGGAGTGGCCGGTAGGCCCAAGCCACTGAGTGTGTGAAGGGGGAGGGTGGAGCCTCCTGGGCAGACGCCCCCGGTTCTCCAGCCGAAGCCTCCCGCAATAAACTGACAACAGTGACATTTATTATTATTTGAAATTAAACAATGTCTGCTCCCCCGCTCGGCCTGAGTGAACTAGGAGGCGCGTTCTGTTTATAGCAAAGAACTAAGGTCTTCTTCCCATTCTGCCGAGGAAGGAAAGACGCGGCCGGCCGGGGCCTCCTTTCCCCACCAGCCGGAGCCCAGAGGATTTAACTATAAAAGGCCTGCGAAGCCTCCGCGCCTCCGCCTCCGGGGGCGCGCGCGCGCGGCCGGTCAGATAAACACCGCGAGGCCTGGGTTCCAAGACTGGAAGGAAGAGGCCTCCACTCACCCCTGCCCGTCATCCCCGAGCGAGCCAGGATCCAGCAACTTGTCCTGTCGCCCAGGCCAGCCTTGAGAACGCTCCCTTCCCGGGGCGCGCGCCTCCCAAGGCGGGAAGGGCACTTGGAGCGGAGAGGGAGCGGGCACGGCGCACGCAGCTCCGCGGCACCGGCGTTCCAACGCCCCGATCCTCTCTCAGGCCCCGCTCTTTCTGAAACCAAATCCGCATGGGTTTTGAATTTCTTTGCCTAGGGCCAAAGAGTTTACACTCTTCAAGGAAGCGTGCCAGGCGCCTTAGAGAAGCGGTGGGACACTTAGGAATACATTCCTGCCGGAGACTCATGTCAGAGGTCACCAACCGAGTTGTATTCTGGGGGCGGAGGACTGAAGCCAGGACCGGAGGTGTGTGGGCACCCACGGCAGGTGCGTCCCTAGGGCGCACACACCTTGGTGTCCACCTGACACGGCCCCGCTGCGCAGGTGGGCCAAAGCACCTGGCTGGGCGGAAGAGGAGGCCACCTTTTGACTTAGTAAGCTTCCTCCTGCCTCCAAATAAAAAAGTAGGTGTCTGGCTCTGAAAAGAGCGCTTAGCAGGAGTTGACATGGGTGTCCCTCTCAGGCCTTCTTCAAAACTAGTTCTCTAGAAGTCCTCTCCTCCTGGTTTCTGTTTTCCTCCTAGATGTGTGGAGTCACCAGCCTCCTTTCTCATCTCTTTGCCTTTCTTCCCTCCATAACTTTAAGGGCAACCCGGGGATGGATCTTGGCAAGAGCAGAGTGGTGGGCTACTTTTCTCTTACATGTTTCTCAAGGGTTCACTTTCGTTAAAATTTGTGGATGCGCCCTTCAGAATATTGGCATTAATTCTCTCCGCCTCTTCCTCTCTCCCTCTCTCTTCCTCTTTCCTCCCGGTGTCTCTTAGGCGGATGTTTCCCAGTTACAAAGTAAAGGTGACTGGCCTTAATCCCAAAACGAAGTACATCCTCCTCATGGACATTGTTCCTGCTGATGACCACAGATACAAGTTCGCTGATAATAAATGGTAGGTACTGGAAGGGCAAGTGAGGGGGACAGGGAGGCAAGTGGAAACCAAAGTCCCCTCCCCCTGCTGACCCGCTAAACGTTTTTTGAGCTCCTACTGTGCGCTAGGGGCTTTCACTGTCTCTTGCACGGCATCCTCCTGACCACCCTGAGAGGGAGAAAGAGCAGCCCATTAGCCCCCATTTTATAGCGAGAAAACCGAGGCTCAGAAAAAGTAAAGAGTCTATATCTATTGCCGGACCCGTGGGTTGTGGATTTTTAAAAAGAGTATTGTTACCAAGCGCTGGAGGTATTTCTGGGGGCATAAAACCATTTATGGTTATTTTTTATGAGTTACCTGCTTTGAACATGCCTTTTTATGAAATTGCAAAATCGGCCCGTGGTATTTGAGTTAAACAGGCAAGAGAGAGAGGCCCATTCCTTGGGAAGATTGCTCCCGTGGCTGCCAAGAGCTCAGAGGCTCGAAGAGGTAGCGCCCTTTGAGAGACTTGAAGGAGTTTTCTGGGGTTTTTTTTGCACGTTCAGGCTTCTAGAACCTGCCAGTTGTTTGTGGGCAGGGAGAGGCTCTCAAGGCTCGGGGAGGAATGAGGTGGAAGAAGAAAGAGCCGGCGGAGGCTCGCCTGGAAACCGGCCCCAGGCTTCTGGGCACCTGGAATTGCAGATGCCCAAGTGAGACCTGAGAGTCAGGCCATTTCTAGATCATTCTCGTATTCAGCAGCCCTCATGCGGCCAACAACTGGCGGGCACCATGCGCACTAACTCTGGGCGGGTCTTGCCTCTCCTCCGTGTAGGTCTGTGACGGGCAAAGCGGAGCCCGCCATGCCGGGCCGCCTCTACGTGCACCCAGACTCACCCGCCACCGGGGCGCATTGGATGCGGCAGCTCGTTTCCTTCCAGAAACTCAAGCTCACCAACAACCACCTGGACCCGTTTGGGCATGTGAGTACCTTGTGCAGCCCGCCCGTGGTCCTCGGTCCACACCTCCTCTCTCTTACTTGCCCTCTCTCTTCTCCCTTCTGCTCGCGTGGTTTCTCTTCTTGGCTCCTCGAGCCCACGCATCTCCTTTCTTGGCTCAAAATTCCCTCCCCTGGTCTGTTTCTCTTTCTACCTCTTGATCCGGCCTTCCTTTCTCTTCTCTTTTCTCCCCCTTCTCATCTCTCTTTCGTTTTCTCTTATTTCTCTCCCTTTCTAATTCAGTTTTCTATTTCCTCTTCTTCCTCTCTGTCGCCACCTCTCTCCCACTCACATGGGTGCCTCTCTGTAGTCTTCCCTGTGGTCCACCATCCACACACTCTGGGTCTGTCTTTCTGGGGTGGCTGGAGATCGGGCCCCATTCTCCTGGCCAGGGACTCACCCTGCATCCCTGCCACCAGCACACAACCCTCTGCCTTTGCTGGGATGGGGCGGCTAAAGCCGCTAGTTCTGGGCCTGGGCACCCGGCCGGTGAACCGGGTCTGAGCCTCAGCCCCGTCTGTGATTAGGGGTGGGGGCTGTGTTTCAGTCCTGCAGAAAACATGGTCCCTCTAGCCTCGGGGCTACTCAGCCCAGACTGCACAGAGGCTGGACCACGTGGGAGCCATATATACCTTCCCTACCCGCTTCCAAATCCTGCCTTGTTATTGGGATGTTGTAGCTGAAAGGGAGACCCCCCAAGCCAACTGCCCCTCCCTTACAGATGGGGAAACCAACACCCCCAGAGGCAAATTCTGTACCCCTTCCCCCTGTCAGCTCGATACTCTCAGGTTTATGTTTTTCCCAACTTCCAACTTTCCCCTCCCAGCACGATGCCCAGAGCAGGCAAATGTAGACCAGGGTCGTAAACCTGGAGAGGGGGTCCTGGTGAACCCCCAAAACTGCACGCAGGATATTGAGCGTGTGCAGCCCTCCACCCTCCACTAGAATGTGTAGCTTTTAGCAGATTCTCCAGAGGGCATCACTCTCTCTTCCTCAAAGGAAAACAAATGAAGAACAAAACACTGATTTTTGAAAAAATGTTCCTAAATCTCTTCGTTGGAAGTAATTAATCAACAGGACAGAACACAGTCTCTGAATTCAGTGTTTAGAATCCTGCGTGATGATTCCACCGGACAAGTGGGCTCACTGGTCTTCGGGCATTTGACCCTCCAGCCTAGAGAGGAGGTTGGAGTACCCCCACACCGCCTTTGGACATGTGTCCAGGGGAGGGGCGGGGCTTGCCCAAGGTCATACAGCTTGTATTGGGAAGAGGGATTTGAGACTAGGTCTCTCGAATTCGAAAGTGGTCCCCATCCTGCCGTATTGTCTCTTGAGAGAGAATCGACAAACACATAGTCCCCAATTTGGGGACAGGAGGGGACCAGGCGGGAATGGATTTGAGCTGGAGGAAGGACAGTTGTGAAGGCCCAAATGAGAAATCCGCTCCTGTGGGGCCTTAGGGCTGAAGCACTGAACCCACAAGGTCTGTGGTGGGAAGGGGACCACGGGGCCCCCACTGATGCGCTTCATGCTGCTGTCTACCTGTGGTTGGTATGAGATGGAACTGCTGGCCAGCAGGGAAGAGAGAAGGACGGCCCGTTCCCTTCCTGCGCTTTTGGCAGGGAGGAGAAGCTGCAGAAGGGCCTTTCTAGGCGAGATCCGGGGCCTCCTTTCCCTTTAAACCTGGGTGTTCTGCCTACAGCCTCCGGTTTGCTGGTGCACCCCAGCACTGAAGTGACCTCGGGCTTGCCTGAGCACTGGCTGGCCGGCGAAGGGTGGTGTGTACCTGCCGGTACTGAACTGATGCTGTAGGTTAAGCGCTGGGGAGAGATGGGACCACTTTGTAAAGGTCCCGAGTGCATCTCCTGGCTGGCTGGCACCCTTTTGGAGGCTGGGACCCTTTGGTGGGGGCCTCCGTGGAACCTAGGTGCCGGGAAGCAGGACTGTGCCCCGGCCCCATTTCGGCTCCTAGCTTTCCCTCTGCGGCTCTGGGTGTGCTCTTGGGGTCGCTCCAGGGTGCACGCCTGGGGAAGGCGCACAGCCCCGCCACCAAATTCCGGGCACCCCTGCGGGTCTCAAGTCCTTCCGAAGCCGCGGAAGAGGGAGCGGAGCCCTGCGCTGCTCCAGACTCGCCGGCCGCCATGCATTCCCGCCCCAAACTCCGGACTTGGAGTCCAGAGCCGCCCTAATGAAATTAGGAACCATTAGATCGCCCTCGCGCTGATGTCTCCACACTGTCCCCGGCCGTCAAAGCAATTTGGCTAAGCCGGGACGATGGCCGCGCCGGCTGGGGGCTGCGGCGGCCCGCGGGGCCCTGCTGCGTCTCTCTGTCGCCACGCCGCCCCGGCCGGCGTCGCTATCGGCCAGGGAGGCGGCCGGCCACGGCGGCCGGAGATTAGAGCCGCGCGGCCGGGGTCGGGGAGCCGCGGGGCCCCGAGCTTCTCGCCCCTCCCCCCGGCCGGGCCGCGCTCCCCTCCCCCTCCTCCAGGCCGGTCTCTCGGGTTGGCCCAAGAACCCTGCCCCAGGGTCATCAATGCAAATAATCAAAACCACCGAGACAACCACCGCCGCTCCGGTTTGCGGTCCTGGGGAAAAAGCAGGCCAGATTTTCAGCCCATTAAACGCGGCGATTCGCCCATTCGGTGGGTCTCTATCAGGACGTTTTGGTAAATATTAGCTGGAGCGGCCTCCCGGGAGCGTCGAAACCCAGGCGTCGTCAGAACGACAAACCCAATTTTATTAGTAAGGATGCTCATCTTCTAGGAAGGGCCGGCGGCCCTGGAGGCCCGCCTCGTAATATTGACTGTGGTGGTTGGAAACACAGTACAGCGACAGCCGTTAAGACCCCACTTGTCCTGGGACCACCCCAAACGTGGAGAAGATAGGAAGGAGAAAGAGAATATTTCCAGAAAAGCAAATGCAGCAGTTCTGTCTGGGGCCAAGTCTGGAGATAATTCCAGTTGTGGAGCCTGAAATGTTGATGAAATTGGAGGAAGGGAAGCTCGAGAGGAGCCGGGCCCTGGTAGGATGGGGGAGTGGGGGTGCTTCCTCCCCATCTCACCATCCTTAGAGTCCCCCCATTTTCCTTTATTCATTGACTCAGCTTTGCACATTCTCCAAACAAAGGTCCAAGCCCACGAGTTTTATTCCAGTTCTGCAAACTCTCGGTCTCTTCCTTTGCATCTTTTAGAGTTTGTTATTTTGGGGATGGGGGAATATTTGTATATTTGTTTGTTTGTTTGTTTGTTTCTTCCCCTCTTTCATTCGAAAACTGTCGCCCAGGCTTCCTGGGGGCGCCAGTTCCTTGCTCCAGACTTGCTTTGCTCTCTTTGGGGACGGGAAGTTTCCTACGCAGAGAGTTAATTTATTAAGCAAACTTTATTAAGAATTCTGATTTACTGCCGTGTGTGCTTTGGGTGATTCTTGGAATATTACCCTGGCTTTTTCTGTTGCAAATTGTCATGTTTGAAATGTTTCTTTTTAATGAAATCACTGGTCCTCTTTCAAAAAAATTGGACTATTTTTCGAGAGGCTATATAAAGAGGCTAATTTGGGGGGTGGGGTGTGGGGTTTTATCTGGAAACAAAGGGGTTTTGATTTTTCTTACAATCTCATTTTCTTTATTATTTTTAGATTATTCTAAATTCCATGCACAAATACCAGCCCAGATTACACATCGTGAAAGCAGACGAAAATAATGGATTTGGCTCAAAAAATACTGCGTTCTGTACCCACGTCTTTCCTGAGACAGCGTTTATCGCGGTGACTTCCTACCAGAACCACAAGGTAAGCTGGATGCCCAGGAGCTGGTGCCGGGGCCACCAGCTCGTTTGCATGAGTCTGCAGGGGTCTCCTCCGAAACCTTACCTTACTGGCAGCTTCATTCCTCCACGAAGCAGGCACCAACTTCTGCCCCAGGGGGCTGGGAGCAGGGGCAGATCTGCGGGCTCCGGATTGCAGCTGTTTGTACTAAATTCAGGGGCCTGGCACAACTGTCTGACACACACAGGTACACCCGTCAGAAACGAGCTTGGCAAACCACACATGACCACATGCGCAAGTGCAATGAGAAAGCATCCCACTGCATTCATGAAATGATGCCTGGGAAGAAGATCACTTTATTGCACGGCTCCTTGCTCTTGGCGGGAGACCCGCTGCCACCCTTCCTGGGGTCACCTTTTCTGTGGGGGTCAGACTCCTTCTCCCTTCCTCTGCCCCTTGGATGCATTTCAACGTAAATTCGGGCAGGTGGCAGAGTCGCCCGAAACCTTGGGTGATTGTTTCAGCAATTAATGACCCCAGGCCACATACTAAAGCAAAGCGTGTGTTGTTAAAACAGAAACAAAAACCGAGCAACCTGTGCCACCGGCAGCCTAGAGCACCCCTCCCAGGTCTTGGATAAGATCCTGCAAGACCACAGCTTGGTGAGGGAAAGCGTGCATGTGGCCGTGTGTCGTCGTTCAGGAGATCACAGCCGCAGCGAGCGCCAAGTAGAAGAGGAATGGTGCAGGTCACTTGCATCGACATTAGGCCCCCCGCTGTTCAACATCCAGGCTCTGATTTGGGCATTTCAAAGCTTGGCGGTGATACTGGAACAGAGCTCCCATAACCCCGAGTTTGGGCAGTATTGTCTATTTTTCCTCAGGAGAAAAGGCTTGTTTTGATCTGTCATCATTCTCTTTGGTTCTTTAGAAACTTGAGTGCACGTGGATTCATTTTATTGGGGGGCGTGAGGTGCAGGATTTAATGAGTCCTAAGCCTTGTTATGAAAATATCTGGAGTCTGGAAAGGCAAGATATAGGGGCTGGGGAGGGGCCATTGCCACTGTGGGGTTGTAGACTGTTAGGAAAATTAAGCAGTGCTTTGGGGTTAGAAGGCTGTGTAGGGGAAAGTAGGGGGGATCCATATGGGATCAGTGGGGGTGGGTCACGTGGACGACTGACAGAGATGGACGTGGGGATGGTGACGCCCCTCCCCCTCCCCAGCCCCCATCCCCACCTGCAAGATAAGGGTGTGGGGGGAGTATAGGGGCTGTGGGGCCAGGCAGGAGAGGCCTGGTGGGGGGGGGGTGAGAGATGGGTTTAGCACCCTAAAGCCTCTAGTCGCCCCGTGAAGGTCATTCCTGTCCAGACTGGGTGTCAGATAATCCACCCCGTGAAGCCAGGGCTGTGAGTAATCTCCAAATTCAGATTGTCAGTGACCAGGCCAAGCTGTGATGGATGGCCCCTTGTAGGCCACAAGGCCTATCTGGGAACCCACGTCTTGCGAGATCGTCCCTCTAGGAGAAAATTCACTCCTCGCAGAATGCCATTGCTTTCTAAAGGGGCAGAAGGATTTTTCTGAGTTCCCCCCACTCGTTGAACCAATAAGAGAAGAAACATTAAAGTCAAATGCCCTGAAAGTTGCAAAACTATTTCAGGCTAATTTGAGTCTGGCTGCTAGAAACCTGTTTGCTCTATGGCTGCTGTAAACCTGTGTTTATCTTTGTGGTGACAGTCACAGGGAAAAAAAAATTGGAAAAAATAGCAGCAAGGATGCCCGGTTCCCCATATATATATGCCTGGCAGCTTCCAGACCCGGAAGAGGGTCCAGAACTATGTTGGATCTTTTTCTTTTTCTTTTTGCCATGAAAGCCCAGGTTCATCCCGAAAGGGCAAGAAGTGGTAGACACGTGAAGGTGACCTGCTGAAGAAGGATGCGGGTGCTCCGTCCTTTGGGGAGAATTCCTAAGCTCCATGTAGTTATGATCTTAGGGTTCATCAGGGGTGGGCAGGTCTGGGGGAGCACACATTCTCTCTCTCTTGCTTTATTAAGGCATAATTGTCAGACCATAAACTGCAATATTTGAAGGATACGATTTGATAAGTTTGACTTTTGTATATACCCACGAAACTGTCACCACAACCACACGTGAAAGTACCCAACACCCCCCAGATTTCTTAAATTTTTTAAAAGATGTCTTCCCCGATGAATATAGTTAGCGATCTATGTGCACAAAGGGGTGTCTGCCCAGTGGGATGTGTACACGTGCGTTTGGAGCACAGTCTAGGAGATTGTGTGTCTGAATGCCCGTGTGTCTAAAAATGTGCATCTCCAAATACGCATTTGGATCTGTGCGTATCTGGTGACCACGCCAAGGGTTCATACCCAGGAATTGCGTTTTTCTTTATTGGTTCATCCAGGGACTCCAGCTGAGTCGTACGTAAAGGTCTTTTTAGCCAACCTGCCACCCAGAAGAGGGATTTCCTAGGAGACGAGTTTTGGTCCCTCTCTCCCATGTTAGGTTTTCTCCCTGTTTTAGTTGTACACTCGCAGAGGCACCTCTTTTCTTTGTGAGGAGTGAATCCCAAGCAGGACACCCTTCCAGGGAAGTCTAGGGCCCCTGCAGATGGTGCCCCTCGTGGATATACAATGTGTGATTTACCTAGGCGCACGAGGCTGGTGTGATTTGTGGACTCTGTCTTGTGACTTTATTGTCCCACCTAGAGCAGATGTTGAGACTCCTGACTTCACGGGTCAAAGCCACCTGGGCTCTTAGCCACCGTCACGTAGGGTGATGCAGAGAGTCTGGAGGCAGACTGCCCGGGTTCAACTCCATTTGACTCAGGCAAGTGGCTTCACTCAGTTTTTCCCATCTGCAAAATGGGGTGCTAAGAGAATGAGCTGTTGTTATCATGATGAGGATTAAATGAGATCATCCTCGGCCAGCGTGCAGTGCAGAGCCCGGCACAGGGGATGTGCAGAGTGTTACCTGATTCCATTGATTGGCTACTTGACTGATATTAACTGAGCATCTGCATCCAAAACGCAGGCTCTGGAAAACTCTTGGCCTGCCCTGACTGTTTCAGAATCTGAAAGACTGAGATTTTAAATAGGTTCTTATTACTGTGGTTGAAAAACAATGACAAATGTTAGTCTTTGTGGTTTGGTTAATTCATTTGCTGATCATGGCATCAATTCAAGGACTATTTGCCCAGCCTATGCTTTGGGTAAATGGGCAGGGAAAGAAAAGCAAATGCCTGTATTAAATTGCCAGGTCCATTTGGGAAAATACAAGCTACCAATTTTTGGTTAAAAGGGCTCAGTGCCTCCAGAATGATCTTTCTCCCCTGGGCTGCAGGTACCAGGTGGAGGCAGGGCTGCGGTGGAGTTCACTTCTTACGCTGCGCTCACACACCCGTATACCACGGGGCTCCTAATGACACGACATATTTCCTCAGCCCAGATGTGATCCCAAGCTGGATTTGAGAGTTATTTCCCCAGATGGTTGACAGCTTGGAAAAGATATTTAAAAACTTGAATCTTCCCCAGCGACGTTCGCTCTGTGAAACACGTTTTTGTAAGGTTTTCACTGCGCTTGTCAGCAGCTCCCAGAGCAATCCTAGAAATACTTAGGTGTTAAAAAAAAAAGGTCGTGTGGGCATTTCATTTCCCTGCTCTTGCAACAATGGCTGTGTATGCAAGCATGTCTATCCTCCGATATTAACTTACTTTGCCATTAAAAGGCATTTTCCTCCTGCTTAAATCATTGTGTAAGGAGCCTGTATTTATGAGGTACGAGCTTTCTGGTTGGGACCAGGAAATGAACCCCTAATAGAGAGACATAATTAAGATTTTTGGCCCTCGTGAGGGTTTTTTTTTTTTTCAAAAGCAAGAATTCACAACAATTATTCTCATTAATTTTTACAACCTCTGTCTCCCTGGTTGGAGCTGGCATTTATATTTGTTTTTCCCCCTCTCTCCCCCGGATATCCGGTTTTATGCGGATTTTGGGGGGAGTACGTTTGTATGACAAATGGAAGTCAGTTTCAGCAGAGTCTTTTGGTAGAACTCAGACCTACAAGTGTATAAGTTAGTGTGTCTGGGAATGAGCTGGCTGACACGCAGCGTATTAGCCAAAGAATGTCAGAGACAGGGTTATAGTATGTGAGGAGCTATATAGGAACCAAGACGGACGGTTTCACCTGCAGCTGAGTATGTAAGTTACCGTTTCTTGAGGGTAATTCTTATGTCCTATAGGCATCTGTGCTCGCTCGACAGAGCCAGACATAGGTAAGCTCAACATACTTCAGTGTATATGTAGCAAATTGTGCTTATCCTGTGCAATCGTATTTTTGGATGCTGCGGAGGTAAGGAAAGAATTAGGTAGTAATAGACCTGTTTGAGGTGCAAGATATGGATTTGAGCAAAAGATTTTTGCTGATAAAATGCCAAAATCCACCCTTTTCTTTTTTCTTGGATAATTTTTTTGTCCTGAGCTCTTGGTGGAGCAATGACATCAGGGACTAGGCATTAATTCAGCTCTGATGCCACATCCACACCCTCATTGTCATCCATTCTTTCGGGAGCTGGCTTCAGTCACTGAGGCTGGGGGTGGGGGACTGGAGGGGGCGGTGCAGGGAGTCAGGCAAGGATTCCCTCCACCCTTTTTTAAATGATCTAATTTTTACCTAACTTTGTGAGAGTCTTTGCTTTAAAAAAAATGATTTATGGTCCATTGCATTGCATTTTATTGTGATAAAACCTGGGTAGGGGGGCCGGCCCGGTGGCGCAGCCATTAAGTGCGCACGTTCTGCTTCGGTGGCCCGGGGTTCACTGTTTCGGATCCCAGGTGTGGACATGGCACCGCTTGACAAGCCATGCTGTGGTAGGCATCCTACATATAAAGGAGAGGAAGATGGGCACGGGTGTTAGCTCAGGGCCAGTCTTCCTCAGCAAAAAGAGGAGGATTGGCAGCAGATGTTAGCTCAGGGCTAATCTTCCTCAAAAAAAAAACCAAAAAAAACAAAAAAACCTGGGTGGGAGAGAAAGCCCGATTAAGGGATGGGGTTTTGGACTCAAAATAGAACTGAATTCAGGCGTGCCCACTTTAAAGACTGTTTTCCAAAGGAATTTTATGGACTTTTCTACTCATTCTGAAGAGTCGCATCAGAATCAGAAAGTTGCAGGAATGGGTTCAGTTAAAAAAGTGAGGGACGAGGAAATGTGTATACACCTTAATAGCCACACATATTTAAAAACTTTTAAAATGGATTTTATTTTTTGAGAGCAGTTTTAGGTTCACAGCAAAGTTGACTGGAAAGGGCAGAGTCCCCGTATGCCCCCTGCCCCCTCCCACACAGCCTCCCCCGTTACCAACATCCCTCGCCAGAGTGGTACCTTGTTATAATCGATGAACCTACATTGACACATCGTTATCACCCCGAGTCCATAGTTTGCATTCGGGTTCACTCTTGGTGTTTGATTCTCTGAGTTTGGACAAATGTATAATGAGAGACATATATTTGTCATCATAGCGTCATACAGACAGTTTCACTGCCCTAAAAATCCTCTGTGTTCTGTCAATTCATCCCTCCCCCCCAGCAACCACTGATCTTGTCCTGTCTCCATAGTGTTGCCTTTTCCAAAATTTCATATGGTCAGAATCATATAACATATTTAAAAATGTTAATTTCACATATGTTTTTACGGTGAACATGCACACATTTACATATACCTGGTAATTTTATATTCCTTATAGAGTTTTGGAGTCAGAAGGAAAACTTATAAGGCCATCTCTTCCAGAACACAGAACATACCAGAGTGCCTGCCCCCCGATGGACAAAGTATGGGTGCATTCATTAATTCCTCCTAGTTTCTCAAAGAAACTACTAATTTCTCAAAGCATGTGACTCTACTACTGGGGGTTGATCAGATGGTTTTTGTGGGTCCTTGAATATGACGGAATCACGGAGAGAAAATTGTTCTTGTGTCGATGATCTTTCTGTTCATCCATCAGGGGGAAAGTCCTAGTTCGGTACCAGTTTGTGTTACATATTTCTCTCGAAGTGTCTAGTTTCCTCTTGCAACAGAGAGAAGGCAGGCCTTGGGTTCAGAGCATTCTGTGGGTACCATTAGAGGGAATCTGACGTAACAATGTTTTTTTTGTATTGAAAGCAAGTGATTCTAGTTTGACATATAGAGAAGTGATATAATGATACAATGCTTTTTATAAAATAAACTTAAATAAAAAGTGGTTTGACTTAAATAAAAATACTAAGCAGACCAGTGTACAGGTGCTGTGCAGATGTGATAATGATGGCAAAGGTGACCCTCGAATGACTGAATTTTGGTGACTGCTGCCCTGGTGTCTATAACATGGTTTGCTATATAAAAATTCACTTCGCCCACAGCTTTTAGGAAATGCTTCTAGCAACTCCTTCTGGAAGCAGTCTTCCACCTGATTCTGCTGCTGTATACTCACGCAAATAGACTATGCGTTGATGGTTTACACGAAAGTTCTGGGCCTCGAAGCAAAGACCCTGTTCTGTTATTGAGTTTTGTACATGGCAACAAAAATTTCCAAGATGAGGGCTCTCTCTTCCTTACGTAGAAAATTAAAGAGGTTTGGAGGGACCGGTCCCATGGCCGAGTCTACTCACTCCTCTTCGGTGGCCTGGGTTCACGGGTTCGGATCTTGGGCGCAAACCTACTCCTCTCACCAGCCATGCTGTGGCGGCGTCCCACGTGCAAAATGGAGTAAGACCGGTGCAGATGTTAGCTCAGGGCTAATCTTCCTCAAGCAAAAAAAGAGGGAGAATGGCAACAGATGTTAACAAATCTTCCTCAGCCAAGAAAAAGAGGTTTGGAGTTGTTCGATGGCTATCGTAGATGTTATAATTCTGTATGTTAGTGTTTATTTACTTAGATATCATTTTCCACCTGAGCTAGCAAGCTCTGTCTGTGAAACTAGGAAATGAACATGAAATGAAGCAGAGTAGGATTTTGAAAGCAATCATCAAGTCCTTCCAGATGAAGATTGCCACGCTGCAGGATGTATGGCACCTTGTCATCCTGCACAGCTTTCCAAAGGGGAGAGGAGGACGAAGTGTTGAGGCCTAGATTGTGTTTGAAATGCAATATGCTAAGATTAAAAAAAAAAAAAAACCCAGCCTGAGTGACACAGAGTGTGACTCCAATTAATGGGCAAACCAAAACCAGGTTTTTTCCCCTTTTAAAAGCAGTCTGATCTAGGACATTTTTCAAAGCCTTTTCTCAAATAAAGTGGTGGGCCCTGTTGACATTACTGGCTTAATTTGCTTCTTTTGGTTGCCAGAAGCTGTGTTTCCATGACACTTATCGTCAGCTCCTGTCCCGAGGTCGTCTTGTAGCAATCAAGAGAAACCCAACTCTCTCTCTCCCTCCTTCCTTCAGATCACCCAGTTAAAGATTGAGAATAATCCCTTTGCCAAAGGATTCCGGGGCAGCGATGACATGGAGCTGCACAGGATGTCAAGAATGCAAAGGTAAGAAAGTGGATTCCTCGGCTCCTTCCTCGCCACGTACCCACCAAAAACCCAGGTGAGCCAGCAGCAACCTTGCGCCTCCCTCCACCAGCCCTCCTGCCCGCGGAAGACGAGGCACAGGGAATGGGACCCTGTTAACCATCGAGAGAAAGGAGGATGAGCCTCCTTCAGTCCTCCCTTCTGATAACTCTCACATGTGGTTGACTCCATCAGGCAATCTGGAAAGTGTGTCTTCTGCAGGAAGAAAATCCAAGGGAATTTGGCATTCCCCATCCGCCTAGGGAACAAAAGTTACAACTTTCTCCTCTTTCTTTGCTGTCTCTCTCCCTCTCTCTCTTTCTTCCCATAAGTCACAGCTGATGAATGATTTTCTTTTTGGCAACAGCTCTTGGTAAATGAAAGGGAAGTTAAATGACTTGATTTCCTGGGGGTGAAGCACAGACTGACTTGACACCATGTGGTGGTCCCGGGCACCGGAGGATTGGAAGCTGGTGATAAAAATTGCTCGGTATTTTTACATTTCCTGTGGTCACAGTCGTTGATATGATGAATAGAAGGGGCTGTAGCAAATGTACATAGTGGGAATTTGGTCTGATCTGAAAGGATTGTGCAAGCATTGCCAATTTTGTCAAACGTTCTCTCTACCTCTTGATATGCTTCCAAAATAACTTACCATATGGCAAGAGAATGAGAAATACATCTTGATCTCTTTGACCAAGAGGTCCCCCCCCCCCTTTTTGGCGGGTTTAGTGTTTCAAAATAAAATGAGGTCATTAAGGAAGCTTTTCCTTATCCTTTCTGGAAGACACGAAAAGGGAGAGTCAGACAGATGGAGAGACACACTCCTTCAAAGGAAGACAGGAGACCTAAGAAAGAGAAAAAAGGTGTAGCTTTGTGGTTTTAACATTGGCTTTAGAAATAACACGTCATGGAACTTGTTTTTAGATAGCAGGCTTACCAGATCTAATTTTGCATGCTTTTAAAAACAAATATGCCATTCTCTTCAGTTGTGCACCATGTACACCACATTCGTATGCATTCCTGCATCCACGATTGGTTTCCATCGTGATCGTGGCTTAGTAAGATGCTTTTTGTTCTTATATTATTATTTTAAAAAATACTTGGCTTTAAGCATTTACAGTTTGAAATTGAAGGTAGATTTAGTCTTTGGTCAGTGGAAAAGTTGACAACAAATAGCACATAAAGCTGAGGGGTCACTATTTGTGGACCTAGGCTCAGAGAGCCAAGTTTTTATTTGTACAGTTTTCAAACTCGCATCCCATTCTGGTGGTTCCGTGTCATTAAGTCAACTTAGCCACTGCGGACTAACAGTCTCATCTCGGTCCTCCTGCAGGTGAGGGTCTGTGCAGGTGGGGACCGGATGGAAAGCACCCTGGTCTAGCCTGCAGCCGAAGGGTTTCTTCCATCCCCTGCCCCTTCTTCGCTCTTTCCCACAAGGTCAAGAGTGGATGGGATAACAGATTTAGGATGCTGAGAATCACCTCCTCAAACTTAACTCATCGCCAGGCCCTGCTGCTCCTGCCTTCTTGACAGATCTTGGAGTTTACACCCTTTCTCCTTGCATGCTGCCTATCCCAGCCGCCAGCATCCTCACCTGCCACCACCTTCTGACTTATTTAGACCTGACTTCAGTCCTATTCTCCTCCAGGACAGTCTTCAGGCAGCCCCCAAAGACATCTTTGTAAAACCCAAATTCAGACAAGGTTACCCCACAGTCTGGAACACTCCGGGGCCTCCTGTGGCCCTCAATATAAGGTCCAGGCTCCTTCCCATGGTTGACCACGCCCTTCCCATCCAGCCTGGCCGCTCCCCCCAGCTTCGCCCCTCACCGGTGCCCCCTGTTTCAATCCTGCTGAAGGAGATGCTCCAAATTTGGATTCTTTCCATGACCGTTGGACCTTTGAAGAAGATGTGTGGTCTGCCGCTCCTCACCTCCTTCCCTTGGCCATCTGCTGCCCATCACTGAGGCTTTTTTGTAGCTATTCCTTCCTCCAAGAAGCTGCCCCGGCCACAGACTGCGTGGTTGGGGTATGCCTGTTCCCAGAGTCCCCCACTGCTTTCCTCTGTCAGGCCAGGGCCCTGCAGTTTTGAAGCTGATTGGACAGATGACAGACATGAGGGAGAGACAGGTGGGGAAGTGCAGGTGTTTGAGAGCTCAAATGTCGCTGATCCCGTGGAGCCTCCTAAAGCTCTCAGCAGCGCAGCTGGTTAGACATTTAGGCAGATGACCCTCCTTTGGTCTGAATTGGCTGTCCTAACCATCCCCTGGTTATTGCACATTGGCTGACGGTTTGACTAGGGGTCCCTCCTGGGTGGAAACTTGCAGCTGGAAGGCAGGAAAGGTTGGCTGGTAATCAGTAGGCACTCTGTAATTGATCCTTTGGATCAAAACTCTCAGCCTACAAGTCACCTGTCTTTGTGGCCACATTAGGAGAAGCATCGGGGAGCCAGAGGGCTGAACTAACCGCTGACCAGGTTGGGAGTGTGGACAGGGCCGTCTGCTCAGCTCTCTGGAGGTGACCCCTGGGAGAGAGAGGGAGTGAAGCAGAGTGGCTCCAACAGAAGGCTTTGGGCTCAGACAAACCCAGGTTCAATCCTTGCTCTGCGTTTATCCCCATATGGCCTCAGGCAACGGATTTAACCTCCCGAAGCCTCACTATCCTCATCTGTACAATGGACATAAATGGAGCTTCCTCTTGCTGGGCTTCCTGTAAGAATTGCAGGAGAAAATGCCCGTGGAGTGCTTGGTTCCTAGTCCCTACTCAATAAACTGTATCTTATTTGCGGGAAAACTCCTCCTTACTCCCAGTGTTCCCCTCGCTCGGAATTTATTCTGGGCCGCGGTCCCAACTCCCAGGTTGCAGTAGGTAGTGACAAGTGGGGAAGATGGCTCTCTGAAGTTGACGTGATAACAGCCAGGCTGGGACGACAGGCTCACTGTTAATCTTGTAATCATGTTTCCTGTCCCCCACACACCCGGTGACAGCTGGCTCAGAGAGAAAAGCAGGAGGGATGAAATTTCCTCTAATTCCAACAATTGGAAGAAGGGGGAGGGGTGGGGTGGTGGGGGCTGAGCATTAGCTTTCAGTTATCCCACATAAATAACTTTTGGATTAGCTTGGCAAATGTCTGGGCACTCACCCCACTATCTCTCTTCACCCAACTCTCCGTGTTTGGCAAATGCAGATGGTGCCATAGTTATTTTCCAACATTCATTTATGGTTTCTCGTTACAGAAGCAATAGCTACTTATTGTAAATATGGAAGAGCTATGCAAAAGCACAAAGAGGAACGTAAAATCATTTGAAAATCCTGTCTCTAGCAGACCGATTAAAATACGTGCCAAGGTTATGTTGAAAGGTTAATCTGTGGCTTAAAAAAGCATCTTATCCTAAGAAGCAATATTTCCCAAATTGCAATGTCCCTACCCTGGTGACAAATGAGATGACTTTAGAGGAGGCAGGACACACAGGCACATCAGACTGATTTCGTAGACATTATTGCTTAGAATGAGATTAAGTTTGAAGGAAGGAAGGGAGGGAAGGAGGGAGGAAAGAGAGTTAAGGCTTATTATTTAAGGAAAAATCTTTACTAAATAGCAGGAGAGCTGGTATCAAGATTTGGCGAATGTTGTCAAGGTGATATGCAAATGAGAGAAATTTGGGAAATATACCTAAATGCCCATCCTAAAAAGAAAGGTGTGGGAATGTCGCTGCTGTTTGAAATGATGTAGGTCCTGATTTTTCATAGAAAATTACTTCCTTTGAACTTTACTTAAACTTTAAGATGTGTTCAGACAAGGTCTGAACTTCCTAGGAGTCAAAGGTGCCAGAGCCAGCGAGGATGGAGGCGTCAGGGAGATGGAGGGACGCCTTTGTAAAGAGCATGGGAGCTGGACCTTGTAGGAAGAAGGAGTTTGAATCTGTTGCGAAGAAGGGTTTTCTGGGTTGGATCAGGGAAGAGAAGAGGTCAGGGGTCCAGAACTCTTGTGGTCTAGACTCGGAGTCATTTTCTGAAGATCTTGAAAGCCAGCTGGCGTGGCCCCGTGACAGGGTGACACTGTGAAGAGAGCTACTGCTCCTAGAAGCTTAGGATTCTAGAGATAGAAAGGACCCCAGGAGACAGCATCTGGTCCATCCCTCCTCCTTTTGCAGAAGGGGATACTGAGGCCCGGAGACTCATTTATTTATTCAGTCTTTGATCTGTTGGTCTGTTATTCAGCTCACATACATTTCTTAAGCGGTTGCTCCATGCCAGGCGGTGGGGATGCAAAGTTGAGTCAACACACAGAGCAGCAGGGCCCGCTGTGCATAAGCAGGCTGTGGAGTTGGGGTCCAGGCTGCCACACTGAGTGGCTCTGGGGCCCCCCTACTCCTCTGAGCCTCTTTGTCCTCATCTGTAAAATGGGAGATAATTATAGACCCTCCCTCCAGGGCTGTTGCATGGGTGAGAGGAGGTAACGTGTGTGTCCTGATTACTATTGCTATGTAAGAAATTATTCCCGAACCTCACTGGGACTGGCTAGGAAGCCCTGGGCTCCAGGCTGTGCCATCTGTTCTCTGTGCGTGTGACTCTAAATCCAGCCCAGCCAGAGCTCCGGAGGCCACTTTCCCTCCAGCGCATGCACGGCCCACTGAAGGGCTGAGGAAGTCCGGACAACCTCAGTCTTGCCAGGAAGAGCTCTGAGGCCATCAGAGTCCTCCAAATTTCATCCAGTGCAATCTGCTAGCTCTCAGTCATGCTCCGTCAATACTCCTTATAATAGGACCAGGCACTGTTCATCATCACTGTGTGCAAGGTGCAGCAAGAAGTGCCAGGGAGATACTTCTGTTTGGTCCGTGATTTTGTGGGCCGGGACTTTGGGGGGGGGGACTCATCTGGGCAGCTCTTGCTGGCAGCCAGGTGTTGGCTGGGGCTGCAGGTAGTGAAGGCACGACAGGGCTGATGCCCAGGGTGCTTACTCCCATGACCCGCAGCTGA